TCTCTCTCTCTCTCTCTCTCTCTCTCTCTCTCACACACACACAGTATGGGGGGGGGGTCGAGCTGCTGCGACGCCCTCAGATCTGGCGGCGTTTCGTTTCTTGTCAGACCGACGACTGATAAGTTGCTCCTGTTACTCGTGGGCTGAAGTCTGCGTGAGGACATTTTAATTGTGTCCAGTTTAAGGACACGTTTTAATTAGCAGCCAGGAAAGACGCCAAAGTTATGATCCCAATTATTTTGTCTGCATGTAATTATTTTCCATCCCTCTCTTCTCTCTGCGGTCTGAATAATTTAAGTGCACAACTTTATGTTAAATGTTTTAAATTATATATTATCACGTTGTTGTTACTCCTCTCCGTCTCTTCCCCAGAAGAAGTAAATGTCCGAGACGACGTCTCCACATCGTCCAAAACGGCAGACGACAGTGACGAGGACGAGCTTCAGGCCGTGGCCAAGCACTTCGGCAAAGAGCTCGGCGAGCTCACGCTGGAGGCTCTGCTAAAGCTGGAGAAGAAGAAGCCGGAGGAGGAGGAGGAACACGAGGGGGTCGTGCCGAGGAGGAAAGGCCCGTCGCTGGAGTCCATCCTGGGTACGATGCCCACAGCCTCCACTCTAGGCCTCTCCGAGTCCATCGGCAGCTGCATCGGACACGAGAAGGAGAACGGTGAGTTCATCACACTGTGTCTGATGCGGTTTCACGGTGACAGACATTAGTTTCATTAGATTGGAGGTTTTCTTGGTTTTGTCTCAGATTGAGGATTTCTGGGGCATAATAATCTCATTTGCTGGTGAAGAATCGTCGCCACGTTCCTCCTTCGTTTGTTTTTTTTTAGATTTGTTTCCTCGGACGTCGTCTGTTTGTGCTTTTAACGCTTCTCCTGCATTTGAACGTGTCGTCTGTGTGATCCACGCAGACGAGGAGGGAGAGGGTGCGTTTAATAAATCTCCACGACACAAACAGCCGGAGCCAAAGAATGAGAAGAATCTGCTGCTTTTGAGAAAACACACTTATTTGTGAGAGCAGCGTTTCCCTGGAGTCTGACCTGATAATGTTGCTGCATCTTCATGATAATCCGTAATCAAGTCAGAGATTGTCTCTCAGGTTTAATTGTCATAATTAACTTTGCTTCGGAATTAAATTCTCTGAGCTGCGTGTGAGATTTACGAGGCGAGTGTGCCGGAGACGTGTTGTTGATGTAAATTCGGGTGAAGAAGCTGCTGTTGTTCAGGACGGAAAACGATGGAAACCTTTAGGGATCGAACGTGTCCTGGAGACGTCTCATGTTCACAGTCACACCTACAGGAAATAGACTCTGAAATGAACCTGCGTGTCTTTTGACCTTGATTAAAAAACCCTTCGCTGACACGTGGAGAACAAACTCAGGGTTAGTTTATGTCGAGCTGACGTCAGTCGATGACGCTGGGGGAAAAAGGTGCATTTGTCAGATCAGCAGACGGACGAGTCGTGACGCGTTCAAGGCTTTTAAACAAAACAACAATTTGTGTCATCGCTGGAAAAGAGAGAGTTTGTACCTGACAACACGGAAGTTTACGGAGCTTTTAATGTCACCGCAGCCTGGACTGATGATCGCTGCAGGCGAAACAATGCACGTGTGTGAAATCACAAGTAAGAAAGTTTTATTGATCCAGCTCCATTTAAAACTAACGGCTACATCATCTGAGACGAGGCACAGTGAGAGACGAGCCTGGATAAATATGAATGTGACTCCGAGATAAAAAAAAAAAAAGTCTTGTTTGTAAAGACAAAACAAACAAGCAAACAAAACTAAGGTTCACACAGTTTGGTGGTGACGACTTTTAGTTTCGCTCGTGGAGCAGGAGACGGATGAAAGACCGAGATCTGAGGGTCGGAGGCGTCGAGAGGTGGAATGTGAGGAAGAGGAGTGAAGGTCATGCAGTGTCTGATGGGTAATCAGCAGTGTCTGGTAACAGTTTTGTGAGTAAACTGTAAAACATCAAAGCTCAGTTGCAGACGACATCCTCAGAATCATTTTTAAATTTATTCACAGATCTGCGTCAGAAATGTTCGACTCCCTGATATTGACATCCGCCTCCTCGTGGTCCAGTCGTGTTCAGGAACATTTGTTTTTTATAAATATTTGTTGACAACAACATGCGTCCGGGTTTGGATACACACACGATGTTAGTAAACAGTCAGATATAAATCCGTACGTTTCTACCGACCACAGACTCCTTCACGTTGAGAGGCTGTTGTTCAGATGTGCGTGAACCTGAAGGAACCACAAAGAGACGGAACGTTTCCGCCGCAGTGAAAAAACCAACCTGCCTCCGTCAGTGCGACGTATTAACAGTTGTGAAAATAAAACAACTGCAGAGACCCGTCACTCATGGGCCATAATTACCTAATTACACGAGTGGGATGTTCTGCGTAACCGCCGCGCCCTCCCGTCCTGATCCGGGTGTGCAGAGGCGTTGATGGATGCGTGGTAACGGTGCCACTCAGCCACATCTGCCCTGCTGTGTTTTTTTTATGGCTCGGAGTGGGAGGACAGGGCGTCATGAGAGGCCGGGGGTGGGAGGGGGGAGGGGGGAGGGGGGGGAGAGTGTGTTGTGATGGAAGGGGGAGGTCGGTGAAGCAGCTGTGTGTTTGGAGAACATCCGGCAACTCAGAAGTCACAGGTTTGAATCCCAGCCCCCTGGTGTCGACCGAATATTGACCTGGGTCTTTTAGTGCTTTTATAAAAACGCCACTTCAGAGCGAGTCGAAGGGATTGAGAACGTGATCGATCGATTCTACGTTACAGCTCAAATTAAACCCGAGCTCAAGCGGTGGTCGTATCCCTGGCAACGATAATGCTTTTTAAAACACGTGAGTGTGACCGACACTCGTGGGTGTGCAGCCACAAAGGTTTTTAACACACGTTGTGACCACATGACATCAGTTTCGTCCAGGTTGTTTGGCCGATACGCGACAGGGACCAGGTTGAAATGAGCCACGACTGTCGAACTCTGATGACGCAACGCCGTGTGATTCACAGGCTCTTGTGTTAAATGTGAATTAGTCTCGGTTTCCTTTTTGAAATTGATTTTCGTCAGTGACGTCACTTTGACTCATCCTCCCCCGAGAACATGTGTCATCGCATACGAGACGCCGTGAACGACTGCACCCGGCGTTAAAAATGAAAAGTGGAGGTGAGTGAGGGTTTCGACGGTCGGACGTCGGGCTGATCTCACCAGGAGTCGTGTGACCGGGGAGGAGCCGGAGAAGAACACAGGAGTAGATTGTCCGACAGGTTCACAGCAATAACAGGAGAATCTCCAGAGCGTCCAGGCGATGTGTGTCGGTAGAGCGGCACGACGTCGGAGGCAGGACGTTTACATTTTGGCTTTGCTGTCTTCAGCAACCGGCTCGGACAGTTGCGTTCTCACGCGCAGCCCCTGAGGAGGATCTCAGGAGAATGTCCAGATTTGAGTTCTGCAGGTTTCGTGTGTTGGCCTCTGTGTCTCCACGTCCTCAGACCTCTGTCTTCCTGTTTGAGGTTTGGCTGCAGGCGGAGGTTCAGTGGATCAGGTCCTGGTTTGGTTCTGGCTGTGGTGGAGATGAGGATTGGGGGGGGGTGGGGGGGGGGTATCATGGCCTCCCTCAGTGTTTGAAGGTTGAAGTGGACAGGGCAGCGTGTCATTAGGGCCGAGCCTTTCATCTGTGTGTGTGTGTGTGTGTGGAGGGCAGGGCACTCTGGGAAGTGAAAGAGGCTGTAATTTTGGATTCTCTCAGGAAATGAGAGCAAGAAAGAAAACAAACCACACAGACGACAGTTTGCTTGTTGTCGTTATTACAGATTCTTCACAGATTTCAGCCTGAACAGACGGTTTTCTTCCTTTTGCACCAGAAACACAAGTCTGAAGAAAACTGATGCCAACTTAAACATGAACACTGATCAGCCCTTGTTTTAACTCAGACTGATGAAATAAAGGTTCCTGGTTGACTGAGGTTTAATCTCTGCATCAGTTCAATGAGGCCCAATAATTACCTGATTATTTATTGATGGCGCTGATCGTTCTGTTCCGTGAAAGTAGAAAACACGGTGAGTGACTGAGCAGAATATTTAACATTTAAAAGCTCCAGAGATTCTGAACCATGTGAAAGTTTTGTCACTAAAATAGTGAGAGCTCTTCTCTTTTTTTTTTTTTTTACTTTTCACTCTGTTTTGCTCCACTTCCTCATCGACGGCCTGTCTGGGTAACGGCGTTTTCATTAACTTGTTCCATCAGAGGAGAAACTGAGAGCGGCCGGCGGTGTCGGCAGAGGGTTCGCGCCTCCAGCACCTCGGGATGTGACGGTCGCCTGTGGCTGAGGCCTTCTGGGAGCTCTGCCCCGCACCATTAGAGGCGGCATTGATTGAGGCACACTGTTTTCAGCGGAGCACTTAGTTCAATCAATGACGTTTGCCCTGACCTTAACTACCTCAGTGAGCACAGCTCCCCAGCTCTTGTCAAACCACTCTGCCGTTTTTATTGCCTGCGATCGTCTGGGGAAAGAGCCGTTTGTGAGTGAGGTGTGTGAAACTCCAGATTTTCAGCTGAGCCTCTTTGCTCTTTGAAGAATCCAATTCATTTTTGAGGTTTCACACCTTATTTCCGAAGCTGTTTCAAAGGTGCGAGGCTGCGTCAAAGGAAATGGACTTTGCAAGTTGTTGTCCTGAAACATTTTCCACCGTCCGTCCTCCTCCTCCTCGCTCGCAGCAATTACCCCAGTAAATCTTTCCTCGGCGGCTCGGGGCGTGGTGGAAGCTCTCTGACGGATCTGCGCTCTGACAGCAGCTCTGCTGAGTCAATTATTGTCTTTCAAATGAGCAGCATCTGTCTCGTCTCTCTCCGTGTCCACTCAGGAGTCGTTCAGGGATGAAAGAAAATGCAAAGGGCTCATCCTCTGTTTCAGTTTTACCTCCTCAGCAGCAGAAAAAAAAAACCTCCTTTGTTGTGTGTTTTTTTTTTTTAGATGCTAATGAGGAGGAGGCAACACTTCAAACCAGCAGGTCACTGGTTTAAAACCAAGCAAAAGGATTCTTCACTGCTTCCCGATAAACAAAACAAAATCATTTCTTACAATTTAGTGTAATTTTCTCATTAATAGTTCGATAATCTTCTCAACAGATTTTAGATTAATTTCCCAAAAGATTCCTGAAACAAAACAAAATTAAAAGAACCATCGTTCGCTCAGTTTCTCTGTTTTGACGGAAAATAAAAGTGAAAAACTGAATCTGTGACGAAATGACTTGTAAAATAAAAAACCTGGTCATCTGTCACTACCCTAAACACTGGATTAGCTCAAACACACAAAAAAGAAAAGTTTAATGTCCGTCAATTAAAACGTGAAAAAATCAGTTTATTCAAAACCAGCAATTTAAAGAATAAGGTTTAGCGTCTTTAGCTGTTTTCAAACGTGCACTGAAGTCTGAAATCTTCCACATGTGAGAACGTGACAGAGCCTAATGCAAACGAATGTGGGGGGGG